ATACTTATCCTAGGAATCCTGGAGTCCTATTCGTAAGTGATTAGGCCCCCTGAAAGCAACGGTTAAATCACACCCCCCCTGTAGTTGGCATATAAATCACCGACATCAATAATACTATTATAATCTAAACCGTGAATCGTGACACACTTTTGAAGACTTTAAGAAGTCTAAGAGAACTTACACTTTTGGAAACTTTATCATGTGATCTCTATCCTGATAGGCTAATTCTAATAATTCTACTCTATTGAAATTGTCTTAAAATAATCTCTTTAAAATAATCATTATTCTAATTTATTTCATAAAAGAAAACACTTATCTTATTCTATTATAATTACTTAAAACACTTATTTTAAAGTTCTTAAATTTCTAATTGTAATAATAAGAAACCCCTTTGTAATTAACAAATAAATCACTAACTCTTGTAATATCATTATAATTCAGATATAGATAATTTATAATAATTAAATACTTCAATTGAATTGAATTAAAAAAAACTTTAAGTTAAATTTATCTAAGATTATAAGACTTATATTAAACTTTTTATTAAATTATTTATTGAGGTATTTTAAATCAATCAGATTATCAAGATTATAATTTATTTAAATAAGTTTTTCATTTTCTATCATCTATATCAAATAAACTTTATATATAACAAAGTTTTGATATTGATAAATTGATAATTATTTTATATAACTTTATCTGATCAATCAAAAATAAACAATAATTTAATTAATATAAGAAAACCAAAATTTTTTTTTTTCAAAGTATAAAACAATTAATTTATTTATTTAATTGAATATTTAATAAATTAAGAACTTTTAATTAAATTTTTAAATATAAATATTATAATTTATATCATTTTTATTATTATTATATAATAATTATATATACTTTTATATCAAATTTTATTTTTTATTTATTAATATTAAAAAATTAAATCTTTTATAAAGAAATCTTTTAAAATATTTGAAAATATTCATTTAAAGATTTTATAATTTTGATTTTTATAAATTTAAATAATTAATTAAAAAAGTTCTATAACTTTAAATTTCAGATTTTAAACTCTATTTTATTTTATTACAAAAATTAAATCAAAATTTTATATAATTATTTTCAAACTTGATTACATTATGTTAAAAATATAAAAATATAAAAATAAATTAATTTTTATTATATATTCAATTCGAAATAATTTAATTTTTTAATTTCAATTACACATTTATAATAATCAAAATTATTTTAATTTTATAAAATGATTGAGTTTTGATATGAAAAGAACATTCAGCTAGTAGCAGTGCACTAGTACTGTATATACAATCATTCCTATCTATAGTATGAATATTCAATTCAATTCAATTTTGATCCTAGCCTAACTCTAGAGTGTATTAACTCTTAAAAGACTATCTCTCCTCCTCTCCTTATTTGATATCCTAACTTTTCATCATCCATACATCCACACTATATGTAAAATGAAAAGAAAAGCCTTGCATCCCATTCCAATTCAACCCTAACCCAAGCATTCATTCGATATCATATCATAAAATCAAAAACACCCAACGCCCATACCATCATAAATCATTATAATCATCCATCATAATTACCACCTCAACATTTCATCTCCGTTTCCTCTCATTCTCCCCTCCAAATCAGATCAACTCATCTACTGATACAAATCCAAATCCCCATCACTATCCCTGTCCTCATCTCTATATCCTCTCCTTCCATACGCCTCCCTCGCATCCACCTCATCTATCTCCATATCATCCTCACTACTATTTTCCTCGCTACTACCCTGATGATTCGGTTCCACCACAATCCTTCCGTCTCTCATAACCACCCTCGCAACCTCACCATCTTTAATTGCACCCCTCAATAATAGCACCGCCATTCTATTCAACACTTCCTTTTCTATCAATCGGGCAAGTGGTCTAGCACCATATACAGGACTATAACCTGCTGAGCCGAGATAATCGAGGACTGCAGGAGAACAATCGATACGAATATTTCTTCCGTTGTTTGATAATCTCTTTTGGATCTCCCCAAGTCGTACGTCGACAATCTTGCGGATTTCAGCTCTGGTGAGACGATTGAAGATAATAGTTGCATTGATACGATTGAGGAACTCAGGCAAGAAATAATCCTTAAGAGCTTGTTCGACCATCATGCGTGTAGTAGGATCAATCTTTCCATTGGCAGCGTTAGGACGATCGAGATATTCAGCACCCAAATTGGATGTCATGACCACGATACAATTTCTGGCATCAATGACACGTCCTTGGCCATCAGTAATACGACCATCATCCATGAGTTGAAGGAGAACTGTAAGGATTTCCTTTGCTGCTTTTTCGATTTCATCGAAGAGAAGAATAGAGAAAGGTTTACGACGAAGGGCTTCGGTAAGTTGTCCACCGGCATCATGACCAACATATCCAGGTGGTGCACCAATCATACGACTAAGCGCATGGCGTTCTTGGTATTCGGACATATCCAGTCTGATCATAGCCTTTTCGTCATCGAAGAGGAAATCGGCAAGAGCTTTGGTAAGAAGTGTCTTACCAGTACCTGATGGACCACAGAACAGGAAACTTGGTGGTGAGTTTGGATTGGAAAGTCCTGCTCTTTGAAGTCGAATAGCATCCGAGACAGCCTTAACAGCTTCGGATTGACCAACAACTATCTTTCCTAAAGCCCTCTCCATTTTTAAAAGTTTATCTTTCTCAGTAGCCTTAAGTCTAGTGACCGGGATACCTGTCCATCGAGCAACAATCTCGTTGATTTGATCTGGACCAACAGTATCAGTGATAAGAGATCCACCAGAATCAGGGTTAGAATTCGAGCTAAGGGCCGCATCAGCAGCTTTCTTCTCTTTCTCCAAGGTCCTAATAAATGCGACCTGTTCCGGAATTGCGTAATATTGAAGATCAGCAGCCTTGCTAGTGTCACCCAAACGAGTAGCCTCCTCCATCTTGACCTTCAATTGATCAAGTTTGAGTTTAGCTTCTTGGATGTCCTTGCCTCTCTTTCTTTCACTCTCATATTTCTCACGTAAAGGTCTGAGTTCTTCTTCAACGTTTTGAGCATCTTGTCTAGCTTGAGCTAAGCGAGCTTTTGAAGCTTCATCCTTTTCCCGAGACAAGGCATGAATTTCAATCTCGAGTTGTCGATGCCTACGATCGAGAGAATCGATGATTTCAGGCTGTGATTCTCGAGCAACTCGAACTGCTGCTGCTGCTTCATCAATAAGATCAACAGCAGAATCCGGAAGTCGTCTTTGTGTAAGATATCTAGCAGCCAAAGTAGCCGCAGAGACGAGGGCTCCATCTGAGATGGTAACTCCGTGATGAACTTCGTATTTCTCCTTCAATCCACGAAGAATAGAGATGGTATCAGGAATAGATGGTTCCTTAACCAAGACTTGCTGGAAACGACGTTCGAATGCAGCATCCTTTTCGATGTATTTTCGGTATTCGTTGAGCGTGGTAGCACCGATACAGTGGAGTTGTCCACGAGCCAACATAGGTTTAAGCATGTTAGCAGCATCCATTCCACCTTCACCACTGGCGCCAGCGCCCATGAGAAGATGCATTTCATCGACGAAAAGAACAATCATTTCCTTTGAGTCTTCAATCTCCTTCAAAACACCCTTCATTCTCTCCTCAAACTCTCCTCTGTATTTACTTCCGGCGATAATTGATCCGACATCCAGCGAGAGAAGTTTGCAAGCGGCGAGATTATCCGGAACATCAGCATTAACAATTCGCTGTGCCAATCCCTCCACTACGGTCGTCTTTCCAACACCCGGTTCACCTATCAACACCGGATTATTCTTCGTTCGTCTTGACAAAATTCTGATGACCCGTCGAATCTCCTCTTCTCTGCCAATGACGGGATCAATCTTTCCTTCTCTGGCCATCGCCGTCATATCCACGGTGAACTTCTTCAAATTTTCATTCTCCTCTTCCGCATCCGCCGTCTTAGAATCCACTCTCCGCGTTCCCCGAATCTGCGAAACAGCATCTTGCAGAAGCTTGATATTCGGTATATTAGACTCCTTCAAACACGTCTGAACAGCCGGATCTTGAGTAACGGCGATAATCAAATGATCCACTGCAATAAACGAATCCTTCTGCGTCTTCTGTAACTCTTTTGCAGCTCTTAAAACTTTGTTAAAAGAAGGAGAAACGGCGACGTTTTCGGGCGGAGGATCTTGACTTGGTAGACGAACAACCGCGCGCTTGAGTGCACGATCAAGAGCCTGCGGATCTCCATGGGCTCGCTCTACCACTTGACGGAATAGCGACTGCGAGGCAGATCCATGAGAGGCGTTCATAGTCTGTTGTTGGTCTTTGGAGAGATCGGGTAATGGGTCGAGGAGGGCGAGTGCAAGATGGAGGGGTAGAAGTTGAGAAGAGCCATGCTGTTCCGCGTTGAACATGGCATCTTCTATGGACTTCGTCGCCCGAGTCGTAAAGGACATGTCAGAGGTAGACATGTTTGCGGTATTGTTTTCAATTCGTATGTGAGTGTTTTTGTTGTTGTTATGGTTTCAAACGTAAGTAAAGTTCTCGAATGTTGTATACAATTATGCTGCGGGGTATAGTACCGAGCTTCAGTTATATGTATGTAAGTGAATAAGTGATTGTCTTGAATATGATGTATTGATGATTGAAAAACAAAACTCGGTGAACAAAGAAACTTGAAGTTTATATATTTCTTCCTACTTTAGATCCATATGATGACCTAAATTCTTGATATGCCTAGAAATTACTGGTATCATCCTATGAGCTTCTAGGATCGCCTCGTAGGTTCTAGAAACGTCAACACACGTTGTGACTCCACAAACCAAAAAGTTGGCTCGCTTGCAGCCGCTTGGTTATTCCCACCCTGGGCACCAAGAAGAGAGCCTGACCTAATTGCCCAACATTACATAATCTGTTTCAGGCAACAATTTGCACATGGAGCAGAAGACGCTAGGACAATTTTGGTTTTCAAGATATCGAAATATTACCATCGCTGTACTTGAAGCTCTCAATTCGCATTCTTTACGGCCATGAGTGTCTCCTCACTTCGGAATTGTATCGGTATTTCTGTCACCAAGACAGCTGGTGTACGATATGCATCAACGACATCAGTGACTGCGAGACAGCCACCGGATCGTCCAGAACATGGAGAGCAAATATATGTTTACAATCATTTACAGACGAATCAGGTCGTTTACTCACTTACTAAAGGAATGAATGTATGTCTTGCCATTCTACATATCCTTCCCACTCCTCATATAGCCAATCCCTCTCATATATCATCCAATCCTCACTAACACCCTCAGAACAAAGCATCTCTCGCGCAACTCCCCTACAATGGCAAAAAAACCCGCCCCGCCGCCCTCCGCAAAGACCACTGGCATCCCATGGCCTTAATAACGTTTCCGCCAGGGACCTCCTCCTCCGGTCTCAGCGCCTTTCAAAAACTTCGCGAATACCGCAAACGTCACGAATTATCCTGGGACCCTACTTCCCCGCTCTTCAAGCGCATTCCCGGACCTAGCGAAACGGACCATCAAAAATCCAAAACCCATTTGACGTCTAAACTTCGTTCTCGCAAGATTAATGATCAGAAAGCTAATACTGTCGCCGATATGGCAGCCGTTTTAAAAGAAATCAGATATGGAAGTGAGAGAATAGGTTTAGAAGGAATAGGCAAGGAGGGCATTGTGGAAGTAAAATGGAGCGATCTCGCAGACGCAAGTTACGCAGGTGAAGGATCCGATGTATGGGGCGAAGCAGTCCTTCACGATGCATTGCCCTGGGATCGCAATAATAGGGAAATCCGCAAGAAACAAGCACTCAGCACCGAACAACAAGCCGAATGGAAAGCTGCTCGACAAGCACAAAAAGAAGCAAACGAAGAAAAGAAGAGGAAGAATAGAGAGATACTTGAACAAAATATGAGATTAAGAGAGGAGAGATGGGCAAAACATGTAGCGCTGATGGAAAGTCATCGCGCAATGGGAAAGGGTCCAAAAGTTCTACCAACAAGGATTAGACAATCTCCGCGAGAAAACTGGGAGCAGGGGAGACAAGAACAGCTGGAAAAATTAGCATGGATGGAACGAACGGGTAGATCAGAAGCCGCATATGAAAAGTCACTGAATGCTGAGATAGCGGATGCGATCAAGACACAGGAATTAAAGCTTGAATCTGAGCCTGGAGCTGAACCATTGGGTTTAGGAGATAAGCCAGAGGAAGTTACCGCTACTAAAATTATTTAAAAGGAGAATTTGACTTTGGAGGAGTGGATGTAGATGTAGATGTAGATGTAGATACATTGTAAATCACAAACATCACATCGCATTTCATATTGCGTTGCATCACATCACATAATATTCACTGCATCTCACGATTGCAACATTTGAACATCGAACTCTATATATCATATACACAGGCCATATGATATCAATTAATAAACCCCAGATAATATTAATATTCATATTCATATCCACAGAATACAAGTTTAAATAAATATAATAATTAACAACCTAGCTAACTAACAGTTATAATTATATTTACATCATATACAAAGTATCTATTATATATATATTATATTATTATATTAATTTATAATTTTAACATACAAATTAAAATAAATATATAAATAAATAAAAATTAAAAGTTAAAAGATAAATAGAATTGTTTTTTTTTTATTGAGTTGATTATATGAGATTTTTACTTTTTGGATTTTGGGGGCTGGGTTTGGATTGGGATTGGGATTGGGATTGGGATTGGGATTGGGATTGGGATTGGGATTGGGATTGGGATTGGGATTGGGATTGGGATTGGGATTGGGATTGGATTGGTATGTAGATTCTTGTGCTGGTGGGAGGGAGGGAGGAATGTATGTATATGTGTATATAGAGGGGCAGAGGGGAGGGAAGGGGAGAGAGAGATAGAATGAGATGAGATAGAATGTAATGTAATGGAGAAATGGAGAAATATTCTATCATCTATATTCATATTGAAATCAACTGTCCCATCCCACCTAAACCACCCAACCCATCCTTCAATATATAAAACTCAGCCTATCCTATCGCATCCCATCAGATCCCATCTCATTCGCCAAATGCAAGGAAAATCTCATCACAGCACCTCGCATCACCTCCTCTATAAATTCCCATCATGACCAAACCTGTCTCTTCCATTTTCTTTCCCCAATCCCAATCCAAATCCCAGTCCAACCCCAAACCAAAATCTCAACCTAAACCCTAACAGCGAAACTTTTCAAATACTCATAATCCTCTACATTAGCATCAACAGTACGTCTAATAAGATCCGCTGCTTCGGGACCATATTTCTGGGTCCATTCTTCATTTTCTTGGGCTGGAGTTTTGAGTTTCTTTTTCTGTTTTTGCGGTGTTAGTTTTTGAATTCTTTGGTTTTTTGATTTCTTGATTCCTTTGGTTGTGTTGTGATGGGGTATGATATGTTAGGGTATGATGTGATACGATATGATGGATATTGATATCCCTTCCTCTTCATCCTACACCTTCCCAGTATGTAGTTCTGACACAGAGGAGCGGATATGTATGTGCATCAAGGAAGAGCGATAATAGGAAACGAAGAAAACCCGAAAAAACTCACCTTTTCCGCACTCCTAGCCTTCAAACTCGTACTATTAATCGCATCATCATGAAAGCCTCTCCACTTCTCAAAAGCTTTCCTAGCTTTACGATGATGTTCCTCGGTATCCCAAATCAACATATTAGGATCATATTCCATACCCACCTCTTTACAATACGCCTTGATGATGCCCTCTGGATTATCCAATAAATCATCTGCATCAATAACCGTAATACTTACTTCTCCATCCTTTAAATTTTCCGAGGCGGAACCAGGGGTTTGGGCTAGCGAGGGACCAACTTGATTTTTTGAGCGGAGGAAATCGAAAACGCGGCGGAGTTCGTCGTAGCCTGCTTCTTGGGGCATGAAATCGTAGAAACCCGTTACTTTGTCGAGAGGAGGGATGGTGCAGCGGAAGTAGGAGGGTATGCTGGAGCGGGGGTGACGGATGAGGAAGGTGAAGTGGAATTGTTTGAGGATTTCGGCGGGGACGACGGTAGGGTTTCCGGGTTCGGCGGCAGTGTCGTAGGGAAAGGGAGCTTTTTTGCTGGTCCCGTTTGTATGGCCATTAGTTTGACCGTTGGTGTGACCGTTGGTGTGACCGTTGGTGTGACCATTGGTGTGGTGACCGTTGGTTTCACCATTTGATACTCCGTTTGTCCCATTTGTTTCGCCATTGGTTCCTACTCCCTTCTTGACACTTTTACCAACGAGCGATGGCGCAATCGTTGCTGGTTTGCCTTGAGGAGGTACGAGATAGTGAATGATATCTTTGATGAAAAGACGCTTTCCCTATTTTGTATAAGCTAATGATGCACGCATAAATATGGATTCAGTTGCATGAATGGTTACTTTCATGAAAATGATTCGGATTAAAAAAGAACTTGAACCATGGTAGGTAGGTCCACAACCTTGGTAATGTTGGTGCAAAAAGGTCTTGGGATCAAATAGCAGAGGCAGAGTCCGCAAAATTAGACACTCGTCTCATGGCCCAATCCAATTTCGAGGGTTCCGCAAAACAGCAGGACTCAATTTATCTAAAGGAGAAACAGTGAAAGTGAATCTAATCCTAACCTCTTTCCCTTCTTTCTCAATTCTCTCAAAGACTTTCTTATATGTGCTATCTGCGAAACCACTCTCCTGACGAGCGGATTCGTCATTCTCATATCTCGGGCTAAGTCTCTCGGGACCGAAGTAGAATGCATCTCCGAAGGGTTCGTGAACACAGGCGAGAACATCATCGCGAGTCATGAAGACCTATAAATAGGTTAGTTATTTCATGGAAAGAGCTGCAGAACGTAATGGTGCTTACTCTTTCGAATGCGGTAGAGCATGCTCTTGGGTGGGTAGCACAAAAGATTGGTTTCATGGAAGCCATCTTGTTGATTATATCCTTATGGAATCTATCAATTGAAAGGTGTAAATGATCTTAAAAGTATCCAAGTACCCACCAGACAAGTAAGAAGCAATCTATATTCCAAGTAAAGCTTTACAAAGTTGTCGAGGATTTTCTTTGTTATTCGTTTTTCAGAACAATCAAAGGCAGGTACGTCAGGTACGATATAGTATTTTACGAATTTTTCAATTCGATTGGATTGGATAAAAGGAAATAGATGTTAGATGAAAAGAGGACTGCAGAGAAGATCCTTTGAAGGCTTTGAAGTGAAAAGTAGTGCAAAGTAGTGAAAAGTAGTAAAAATTACTATATTACTTATTACCCGTCCTAATACGTAAAGCGTGGGTGTTGAGAAAATGCTCAAGACCAATTAATGTGAGTGATAATGAGCATGCTTTCCAACCAACGAATAATGTATGAATGTGAAGTGTTTACACTTGCGCCTTTTCCTACTCTGATGGAAAGAATCCATGAATCTTGTGTATCCTTATCATGGATATACAATTTGAAGCCAATGATTGATGATATTTGTGTGGTTCTGAAAATATAAAGTTGGTATAAATAAATTGGTAATGAAGGAAAAAAGATGTGTCTACGTCAGGTCAAGCAGGGTATGACGCTATAAGTTAAGTCAAAAATGCCCCTCCTTCCAACTATAAATTTTTTATTTTTTATTTTTTCCAATTTTTCCTCGGCCATTTTTTGCCCCTCCATTCAATTTTTGGTGTACGGAGTCCGATACGTGCGTGCACTACCTATGTAGGGAAAATAAAGTTCGTGAGATGTTAGGTTGTCAAGGCTCATGGTAATTTGGTAATTTGTGGCTTGTTTTCGTGGGGGATAAGTGTTTAAGTTTAAGTGTCGGTCGATAGGAATCCGAATTGGTGGATAATTTATGTGATAAGGATTTTCAACTTGGGCGATGAGTGGAAATGATCATGATGACCCTCCTTGATGTCAGTCATCTGAAAGTACGGAGTCCGGCCTTGTTAGCATGGATCAGCCAGCTTACCGTAAAACATAGTACATAGTACATAGCACATAGCACATAGTACATCCAGCATCCAGCATCCAGCATCCAGCATCCAGCATCCAGCATCCAGCATCCAGCCCAGCCTCAGAGACTGTACGGATGCGATGAACGGCATATAATACGAAATGCCAAATGGTGACAATACCTATCCTCAAGGCTTGAGTATAAATACCAGAAATAATATGATGGATCCGACAAGGTACGTAATACTCATATGTATGATACTATTTAAGTGATCTTGATGATTACTCGAGGTGGTACCTAAAGGGGAGGTCTTTCATTTCACATCTTTTGGCCGGGGGATTATGAATTACCAATTGTACATTCGTTGAATAAGTCCGAGTCACACTAGTGAATAATTTGAGTCATTCACTCGAGTAACTAAGTCTAGCTTCCGCTTTGCCAAGGCGTGAGAAAAGGCCACTGATATCATATCTCCTCGGATCCTTACAGCCTTGTGAGTTCAGGGATGTTGGAGACAACTACTGCCTCCCTCCTTGCCTCCTTGCCTACTACTTGGCTACTTGGCTACTACTTGGCTACTTGCCTACTACTTGCCTACTACTTGCCTACTTGCCTACTACTTGCCTACTTGCCTACTAATTTACAAGCAACAAGTGAAAATAGTATACAGTGGATATGGACCCCAATACACTTTTTGAAAATATAAATATTTACATAATACCCCAGAGAATGCAACGTTCTTTCCTTTCTTACCCAACGACGTGAACCTTGGAAGGGGGTCAGCCCCTCCCTGATCAGTGACTCCCTATCATTGGAAAAAGGCCTGTCTCAAGATACCGGTATAAATCCGTGACGGCGTTCGCTCAACCCGGCCACACGAGCGAATACGGAACTTTATCCCTGCATCATTACTTGATGATCCGCTCGGCGGCGGACTGTTATCGAATGATTGAAGGTCGCTTGGCAATGAATGAACGATGTTGGCTGCTTTTTCTTCCTCTGTAAATAATTCCTATCTCGTCCCACTTCTTTTAGAGGTCAAGCTTTTACTCTTTGGGAAAGACTCGATGACGATCATCACTTACTACATTACTCAATTATCACATCAATGGATGCATGAGCTGCAATTGGATTATTGGGAGAGGAACGCAACCGCAACCCCGAACCCCAACCAAGGGGAAAGCATATACAGAGTAGTTAGTATAGTACATACGGAGAGAGGACAGAAGGAGAAGTCGTAGACTAAAACTTCTAAACTTCCTTTTCCTTCCAAGTTCTTAATGGGCCCAGTTATGTCCTATTTCAAATCCATCCCGGTTTCTCAAAGCCAAAGAAAGCCCAAAAAGGAAACCTCGGGATACCCAATTAATCAAAATCAATCAAAAATCAATCAAATCCTTTTTATATCCGCAAGATCCGCATTACATATTGAAAATTCCATCCTTTGTTTTCATTGCCATCTCGTTATTGACATTATCCGCGAATATTCTCTACATCCAAGACGGTACTTTCCCTCCTTCCGTGCAATGCAAAGCACTTTTCCTATGGTGTAGTGGTATTATTATTGTTACTATCATTATCCAGCATACATCATCAATTTATGCATCGCAGAGTTCGCTTCGAGTCACTCGAGACCATCCAAGGCCGTAACTCGCACTTGTATTCCTTTCGTACATTCATACATACACACATTCATACATCAATTCATACATCCATACATACGCACTTATTCCCTTCCAAGACCTCAATATCTGCACTCTCTTACGCTGCCAAGAGGAAATCTCTTGTCAATTTCTACTACGCCGTCTTGCTCTTTTCTTACTGACTCTACTGGTTCAGCCCATTCTTTTTTTACTTTTTCATTCCTTATATCCGAGGGGGATTCAAAACGTCGAGATTACTACTCAATAAAGAATAATAAGAGGGGTTAAATGCCGAGCATCACCCTTACCAATACCTTACTTTAGGTAGTAAATAACTAGATTGGTGGAATTCTATTAACCATAGCAAAACACGAGAACTCTCCATTGAATCATCTTTCCCTTAATCAGATTGAGAAGAAAACAATTCAAGAAATCACTTCAGATTTCATCCTTTAATTTTCAAACATGTCAGGAACATCACCCGATCAACAATCACCGGCATCACAATCGCAACCACAGTCACAACCGCAATCACAACCAACTCAAAGTCAACAAAGTCAAGAACCTCCAATCAGTCCAAGTCAATCATCCCCCGACCTCGAAGCAGCTGAAGATTGGCATGCGGCTCCATCACAACCACGTACTGCGCCCATACAAAAGAGGCGACGAGTTACAAGAGCTTGTGATGAATGTAGGAGGAAGAAGATAAAATGTGACGGAAAACAACCTTGCACTCATTGCACTGTATATAGCTATGGTACGATATTGCATGTAATCTTGTATTTTTACTTCTCTCGTTGACCGATGTGCTTGCAACAGATTGTACATATGACCAGCCTTCAAACAGGAGGAGGAACCCCGCGCCGCAGTATCTCGAATCATTGGAGCTCCGTTTACAACGAGCAGAGAGCATTATAAAAACTTACCTGCCAAACATAAATCTGAACGACCCAAACATGGATGCTGTAGCATTATTACAGCAACGACAAGTTGCGCCAATGACACCGTTAAACACGAGCTCAATGCCAAGTGCGACTCCACAACAACCACATCTTTCAGAACAAGATGCGCAGTTACGGTCAATGATAGAGTCTACCGGGCAACTTGATCTGGACGAACGTGGACACTGGGACTTTCATGGCGGCTCTTCTGGAGCTGTTTTTATTAAGCGCCTACGTGAACAGTTTGGCGATTTACTTGGATCTCCCAACTTACTTCCTAAACTACCACATGCGCACATGCCACCTTCCTTCGATTCTCCAAAATCATTTACGGAGTCCCCTTATGATTCCGGTCTCCCCAATACATTTGACCTTCCTCCTCGAGAAATCGCCATGGCTTTGTGTGAAGATTCGTTGCATTGCGGTTGTTGTCTCTTACGTTTTGTTCACGAACCGAGTTTTTATGAAATGTTTAATAGGATATACGATTTGCCAGTTGAAAGTTTTGGTGACCAAGAGCATAGATTTCTGCCATTGCTGTACATGACTTTAGCCTTAGGTTGCATGTTCTCGTCAGAGCCATCCAGTTCCACAGACCCGGATGGGAAGAAGTATAAAAGTAGTATGGATCAAGGGTGAGTGTTGTCTTTAGCGATGATGCTACATGTATCCCCATAGCCTCGTCTCAGTCGAACTTCGCAGAGGGGCACACGTCTTTCTGTGCTACCTTGTACTTCATGATGTCACAAGACTAACCTTTCATTAGATTCAAGTTCTACAAAGCTGCCCGGCAAATGATGGATTTGACTGATTGTCGCGACATGACGGCGCTGCAAACAGTCATATTCATGGTCCTGTTCCTCCAAGCAACATCTAACTTGAGCGTATGTTATTCTTACCTAGGTCTTGCTTTGAGATCTGCGTTACGCCTAGGTCTACATCGTAGCCTGAGTGGCAATTTCAATGTCATCGAGCGGGAAACCAGAAAGCGAGTGTTCTGGTTAATACGAAAACTGGATACCTACGTTTCTGCTCTTTTAGGATTTCCTATAATTTTAAGTAGCGACGATATCGACCAAGATTTGCCAATTGAGGTAGACGATGAGTATATAACCAAGGATGCGATACTTCCCATGCCTCCTGGCAAAATGTCGTTGCTTGCGGCTTCGAATGCACATACACGACTCATGGCCATTACCCCAAAGGTTATTAAACATATTTATCCGATAAAAGGATTGGAGCAATCTATCTCAGGAAACAATAATACATCTTACACTATCAGTCACTCAAAAATTAGGGAGATTGAAAAGGATTTAGCAGACTGGCTGGATATGTTGCCCATGGGATTACGTCCTGGAGGTGAAGGTCCACCCGAATTGATTCGGTAAGATTTTTTATTTCAAGTATTCTATACTTTGACATAGCGCGGAAGGCCTACTCGACTGGTGGAGCTTGTGATGAATGTTCGCTGACCATAGTATAGTGTTCAACAACTTCTACGGTTAGCCTACGCACATGTTCAAATGATGTTATATCGACCCTTTCTTCATTATGTTTCTAGAAAGAGTTGCGCTGGGAAGACCATTGATGAAAGGTCATACGCATGTGCAGCTGCTGGCGTCAGTGTAGCTCGTAATATAATTCATATTACCGCAGAGATGAAGAAACAAGCTCTCTTGAGAGGAGCATATTGGTTTACCATGTACACAACCTTCTTCTCCGTCATATCCCTAGTATACTACGTCCTTGAGAATCCCGACAAGAGTGGAGCTGCGGAGATTTTGGCAGATGCAAATGATGGAAAGGATGCTTTGATTGGCCTTGCTCAAAGAAGTATGGCTGCTGATAGATGTTCAGAAACTCTCAAGGTTAGTGCGACATCTTACCATGTGCCGTTTTTCTAATGCAAATTAGCCACTTTTTGAACAACTACCCGAAAAGTTAAAAAATCGACCCACTTCGGTCCCGTCAAAGAAAAAAAGATCAGCGCCTGCATCTGCACATCCAACGCATCGAAGTAGCCCGGAGATACCAAGACCAAGTTCAAGCCACATAACCCCGGTACCTCGCGCCACAACATTTCCCCAAACTACCACCTCTCTTCAAACCAGTGGCCTTCCTATGCAAAACCTTAACAACCGTTTTCAACTGAACACATCTTCCAATCCAAACCTCCGACAAGGTTTTCAAGATCTCGTTTCACCAAGTGATTTATCCAATGCTGGTACTCCTGAAAGCGTATCGTCGACTAGTCATAGTATCCCACACTATGGTATGCAAAATCAATTCAATGCTAACAATAGTATACCATATCTCACTGGGTTGATGTTTCCATCCCCAGATCCCTTTGCATATCCAAATCAACCAATGATGGAATTCGATGCGCAACACCTAAAGCAGGAAAATGATTTGGATAATCCTAGAGCACAGCAAATTTACATGGGGGGCAGTGGAGCGGGAACAGGAAGTGTAATGTACGATGATTTAGAGGGACAAATTTTCGGTCCAATACCCGCTTATATGATACACAATCAACAGGGATTTGAGCTATCGGGCGGGGGACAGGGAAATGCGGGAAATCGCATGGGTGGGTTAATGCAGGGCGGAAATGCAAATACGACAGGTACAGCTGGAACTGGAACTGGAGCTGGAGTTGTAGTGGGACCGGGAAATACAGGGTTTAATCCTCAGAATTTGGTGTATAATACGGGGATGAATTTGGATGGGATTTTTGATAATGTTGGAGGTGATGCTCGCGGGACGGGAGAGGAATGGAGTGGGATGGGTGATCAGGGGTTTAGGTGAGGGTTTAGGTGGGATGGGTGATTAGGGTCTAGGTGGAATGGATGGGATGGCATGGATGGGCTTGGACATATTGTCGATTTTTGACGAGGTGGGAAGGTTATCGTCTGACCTTTTGATTGACTTCGACTTCGACTTCTCTTCTGTGAAGAGTATTAGTATTACACAATATCGATATTGATATCGATTTGCCACTGCATGTCACGGTACAGCACAGCACGGGACGACTAGACGAGAAAGGCCGGACGAGAAGGACTGGATGAACGAAAAAGCAGGAATTAAAAATTTCATCACATGATGAAAATTCCCTTTTTTTTCATTGGATAGCGAGCGAGCGCTTGGTTAGTGGGTGATTTGATTTAAAGATTCAGGGATCCGAAGAGCAAACAAGCAAGCAAGTAAAATACCCTTCCTTTCCTTTGAGAGGAACAGCCAGCAGCGATATGTTGGCTCGTTGGATGACAAAAATTTGGAAAACATTCTGGGAATGATTTGATATAGTATGGACTGTATGTGTATGGTATAGTATGGTATGGTATGCTTTAATGTGTATTCTTATATATATAAATGTATGTATATAAATAAACTTGAAAGTAAAAAGTAAATGATATTTTATTGAGTGGATTGTTGAATGAATAAATGAATGGATTTGATTTGATTTGATTAAAAATAATTTTTTCAAATTTATATTTATATTTATAATCCTTTTAATCCTTTTAATTCCCTCTCAATCTCCCCTCAATCTCCTTTATCCCCTTCACTCTCAAAGTCTAAAGTTTCAAAGTATCTCAATTAACAAACCACATCTATAAAATCTCACACTCTAATCCATCAAATAAGAGTTCTGGAAACTTCTAACCGCACACTTTATCGAGAAATAACCGTAACCTTATTTTCAACCCTCAATTATAAATAATTCATCAAAATTCAAATTTTCAATATTTTCTATTCAAACTCAAAATTATTATCAAAATTCAAAATAAGAATGATAATTATGAATTTCATCAAAATTGAAGTACCCTTTGTAGAGCTAGAATCTTTCAGGCTAAAAGGGATGGAAAATCGTGATCTTGAATCGAACAAAATTTGAATGTACCTCGAAATACTGTAAGAGGTATCATTAAATCGAATTCACTTAAAACTATTTGTAAAAAGAAAGTATATCGATCCTTTATAATAACAATTAAAAAGATTCGACGAATTATAAAGAAATTGATAAAAGATTGAAAGGGAAGAAGGATGATTTTTGAATAGATGAAATATATACTAAAAATTAAGATTTCGATGTATATTATTCGATATGAATTATATCGATATAGTTATAAATGTTATATAATTTGTTTTAAATTATTTATTTTTAAAAAACAAACAAAAAAGAGATTGGATTTTGTATATGTATATTATTAATAAAGAACAACTAATATAATCTTCGAAAAGTTTAAAAAAGATGATTAGAGAAAAATTATATAATCAAATGAAAGTATTTTCGAGATTGAAAAATATAGTAGGATATAGATGATTTGTAGAATTGAAGAAAAAAAATATAAAAATTATATCAAATCAATATATAGATCAAGAAGAATCTTTGTAATAATATAAAAAACTTTTAATTAGAATTATAAATCTTTATTGGTTTTTTTAAAGAAGAATCTTAATATTAAAAAAGTAAATTCAATAATATATTAAAATCAAATTCTTATTTCTATTGTATTTCCTTTATTTGATAAACTAGAATCTGAATATATATTTATAAAAGATAATATAAAGATTCATTTGAAATATATTAGATTAATTTAATTAAAGTATAATATTAGAGGCTTTTAATAGCCCCTCTTTTCTTCAGATCTCAATCTAATTAAGAAAGTATAATGTTAAATAAAAAAGAAGTTAAAAAGAGAATTCAAAAGATTATAAGAGATATTTCATTCTTTAAATTTCAGATTATATATTGAAAGATTGATTTGTGAATTAAAGAATATAATTGAAATAAAAGGATTAACTATTATTTATTAATATATTATTAGATTTTCAATAAAAAATATTGTGGTATTGATTTAATATTAAATTTTCAAAAGTGTAGATGAAATTTAAAAGGGGTGCGATGAGTAATGACCAGAACTCTTACATCGAATATATACCTAAACTCACTAATAATAAATAAAAATACAAATATCATTGTATCATTACTACCTAATTAAAATATATTAAACCCTAGCCCAACATCCAGCAGTTTAATCTAGCCAAGTCAAGCCAAGCAAATATAATAACGATCATGATCTAACCATAGCCAAAGCAATAGCCAAAGCAAAGAGAGCACCACCATTTCCCTATGCCAAGTTCCCAATTCCCAAATGATATCATCCTTCTTTTGTGAGCCAATTTGCTAGCTCTTTTCGCTTGCAATACTATATCTACCTTCCTCGATTATTCTCTTTTTGTCCCGCTTCCAAGCTCCCACCCACATCACCCATTCGCCTCCATACTCATCTTCCATTATTAACCTCATGACATCAATTCCCTCGATTTTATACCACATAAAAAAACAACAGTATAGCTAATACAATATGCATGACCCATGCAGAAAACCAAACGAATAGAAAAGTCAACGCTAAAACGCAACTGATTTAAGGTCAGAAAAACCACCTCCCATTCTATCCATTGGCATGAGCTGATGTAGTATTAGCATAGCAACCTTTGAAAGCATCCATGACAAAAGAAAACAAAAACATGAGCAAAGAATGCCAAAGACCATCCGTTTTATCCTCTTGGATAAATCACTTAATCAATCCTCAAAGTATACGGGCTTCCACTCCTCACACTACCACCTTCAGCATTATCAACACTCCTCAGTGATCTAGGTGTGCGTGGTGCTTGTCCTCCTGCTCTACCATCACCTTGTCCATGATGATTAATAGGCGAGAAATCCCTAATACTTCCCGAACTACTATCCGCCTTTCCAACAAACGGTATTGATCTTCCATATCTTGGATCCACAGCTGGTGCCAATCTATATCTCTTGCTAGTATGCTGTGAAGCCTCGTCATCAACAATAACAATCATCCATACACCAATTGCTCCATTAGAAGCAATAAGTGGCGTGCAATGAATCCAACGTGGTCGACCTTCCAAATCATCCTTTGTGACCCAACGAACTTTAGCAGTGACACCTCGGCCATCAGCAAAAGCTTGAGTTAGTTCATCACGGACACGACTGCTGCCTCCTATTTTTGCCATAAAAGGTGATTGTAAAATACCAGGAACTCTGAGGGTGGGACTCGCGAATAGGACCCTCAAGCTTGGATATGGACGAACGAGAAGATAGTTCTCATATATGCCACCAAGTTTTCCACTGATGCGTCCTAGTTGTGGATTTGGCTTCATACCATTGGGGCTTGTACTAGTAATATGTAATCTCGGTTTATGCCAATTTCCTCTCTGGAAATTACTGTCAGGATGATCCTCTTCAGTTTCTTTGTGCATTCTTCCTCCCCATTTTCGTACTGTATCTAGCTCTTGCATATTTAGCATTTCGCTCAATTCTTGGAATTCATCCTTTGGAGGTGGTGGGAGCTCCTCCTGTTCTGCATTAGGATTTGCGGCTCGTTCTGCTTCGCGCCCCTCGGCAAGTTCTTCTGCTGCAACAAGACGTTGAAGGGATTCTAATTCGGCGCATTCTTTTACCAAACCCGAAATATCGACTTGGGCACCAATGAAATATCGTATTGTTCCTCTGCTATCACATAACGGAGCACACATGAGAAGATTCATAAAAGGAGACCCATCACGTCGACTTTTGTTTTATTAGCCATCATCTCCAAATAGATCAAGGTAAGACTTACTAATTAAGAAAAGTTTCATAATGCTCTTGACCAGCCTCAATCTTCTCTCGAATCCTCCTCACACTGAATGGATTTGTTTTTGGTCCTTGTAAAAATCTACAATTCCTACCAAGAACATAACTCATACCATACTGCGTTGTTCGGTGAAATTCTAAAATATGATTAGACCAATCTTTTATTCGGTACATCAAAACATACCCTCAGAAGCAAAAACAATAGGATTATCCGGACGAGAAGGATCGGTTAAACAAAAGACCTCAGCCAAACCTTCAGAAGCCTCTCTCAAATGTGCCGGTAAAGTTCCAGTAATTCGTCTCTGAATCGATATACTAACAGTCTGAATATATGCCCATGTAATATAAGCAGGAAGATCTTCTCGGACTAAAACGTCAAACGCCTTTGAGGCTTTCTCTTCCAATGCAGCGCTCATTGTCTTCGAGGCTGCAGTAGTAGTAAAATCGAAACCTGGAATCGGTTCCAGAGCTTCCGCAATAGCATTGGAATATGAGATAGCTTTCAGAGCTTTAACAGCATCCAGATAATATATAAGTATAGGAATGGAAGAAGGTCTGTGCGCGCCTAGAAAAGAAGTGAATCTTAAAAGTAATGATGGATCACTAAAAATCATTCGTAAGTGCTCCGTTGAAAAGAGTTGTTCTGATCTTTTTTCTAGAGAAAATCGTTTGCCTCCAGTCTCAGTCGCTGATACGAGATCAAATGATCCAGGATCAACATCCTCTTCATTTAATGGCTCCAGAGTTTCTCCATCCTCCAGCACCCCTGTTTTCTGTAATGGTGGTAGAGATGTGGCGTTTGTTTGGTAGGAAGAAACGGAACCAGCTCGAGAACGTGAGCGCGCCGTCGATGGTGAAGAAATTGATAGTTGTGAAGATAGTATACTCGGCTTTGAATCTCTGATTTCCACACGCTCTTCTCTTTCCGGCATTTCAAATTGATCCTGAGAATTTTCTCCAGTCTCACGATGTTCTTCGTTGTAAAGACTACTACTAGAATGCGTTAACTGATTTTTCTGGTGTAAACAATTATGTTCAAGGCTTACCTTGTCCTCTCAGGAATATCAACTTGAGCTTGTAAAACTTTTGCTGATTTATCGGATGCGGGTGACGCAGCCCCCTTTCTTTGACTGTTAGAATCAAATGCTCTGTCCAGCGAAAGCCTTCTTGGCCGATTTCCTTGAGATGGTCCTGCAAGATGCTGTCCCCCAGCTTGTCTGTATGGTTTGTAGAATGGTATATTCTTTACTTCTGCGCCACTGTCTTCCTCCCCTGGACTTGCTTCATCGATTCTAATTGGGGGTGTAAAGGTAGGAGCTTTTTCATAAGCATGTATCCCCGCACGACGATCTGGCAGATTCTGAATATTCATCTCTGCAGATGTGGGAGAAGCCGACTGATTAGGGTGAGGAAACTAAATGCCGCAAGAGTAATGTCAGTTTACGTGTAGAAAGATATGTCGTTCTATCTTTTTCAATTTTCAACAAACATCAATGATTGAATATCATGCGCCTTATGACATAGATAATGTCAGGTATATTCATTGATGCTTAAAGCAGTTCTCTTCGCCGCAATCTCAAGCATTCGAGCGGGTTAATTTCCCGATGAAATCAATAGTGAGAGAAAGGACAAGGTTGAAAAGGAGCAATTAAAGCTCGGGAAGGGTGGAGTAAACAAAATCATGATTATCGACATACATAAGATGTATCTTGAAGGCTATTCCTCCTCTTTTGCTTCAAATGTTTCCACATCTATGCAACTAGCAAAGAAGATCCTCTCCAATGTTAAGTATTATAAAGATATATTGTATCAATGGCAGGAGGATGAAAAAGCTATCCCATATGGAAAGGCCACCAAAAGGAATGGATTGTAAATGCTGAGTTATGACATACCAAGGAGAAGATAGGAGCAGACTTTATTTGAGGAGCACTTCCGATGCCAATTCCAACTCCATTTCCCACTCCATTCCCACTTCCACCAATATTAGTGCCAACAGCAGCACTGGCACCAGCGCGAACACGAACACCAGAAGTATATGCACGTCCGTGTCTTTGGAGGGGTTGTGATTGATCTCCAATGCTTGTTGATCTCTTCGACATGACGAATCCTTGAGAAATTGGAGGGAAAACGGGAAGGTCTAGGATCTTGGACGAATCAGAAGAAGGAATTGACATAATCCATGTGGCGATGTAGTTTAAAAAGTGGAAAGGGGAAAAATGAGAAGAGGTTTAATCCCAGTTAGTCAATTTTGGATTTTTGGGTTTGAACCTGGGTTGAGAATTTGAGACCTCGACTGGGTGGACTCACGAGAGGAAAAAAAGAGAAGCTGCCAAGAACAAATTTGGCACATCTATTTCCTCATTTGATCAATTTCATTACCAGTTATGATGGACATAGAAGAGACTAGGTACTCGGTACTCGAATATACTTTAAGGATCCGAGAGGAAACGTGATTCCGGCGGGCCAAACTAAGTAGGAAGTAGGTGGTGCTCAGACTTATAATTTGGTGAGTTGACTATTGAAGTATGTTAGAGGCGCATCCCAATGAAATCAATGACGGGTTGAAAAGTCCAGACAGAAGAAATGGATTCCATGTTCATCCACTCTTTTGACAAAAAGAGAAAAAGAAATGAAAGAGGATATTTCGCAAGATGTGGACACTGAGTGTGGACACTGAGCGTGGACAATGCAACGTACAAGAAAGTCCCTCTTCATCCAATTTTCGAAAGAAAAAGAGCATCATCCAGTACTTGCCTAGTATTTTATGGGAGAATGCTGGAGGCTATAACGTACAGGAAAGATGTAGTAAGAGGATCTCGTAGAAGTATCTTCCACAGAAGAAAGATCTCACAACTCTCATCGACACCAGTTTATCCTACATAGCCAGGCCATTTCAGGTACCTACCATCACCTTGTCACCTCTCATCACCCAGCTATGGCCTACCTACCACCTACCCTACATAGTAGCAGCAGAATAAATGAAATGGCCTTGTGAAAGGTATCGAGCTATGAACCAACTCTCACAAGTAATACTCCAACCAATCCAGCCAATTGCACCATGTTCTCGCTTTTGCCTTCCAAGCCCTCTCATATATGCATCACGGCTGAAGCGATACACGGTTACTGGTTACTAGTAAGCGTTTCAATGAATGTAACATATGTATGTACGCGGATCGGTAGAGAGGTAGAGAGGTAGAGAGTAGTACTAAGTACACAGATCCTAAGACAAGAAACCGATACAACGGTCTTGTCTTGTCTTGTCTTGTCTTGTCTTGTCTTGTCTTGTCCTGAAGCTCGGGTACCTCCTTAACCGAAGTAAGTGCTTGACCCACTGACCCTATTCATCATTCATCATTCATCATTCATCATCCATCATCCATCATTCATCCATCATTCATAGCATTTTTGCTCTCGGGCTTCGGGCTCGGTCGGTACAAGGCAAAAAGGAGTTGATCGATCTCAACCCACCATAATTTCCAACACCGCAATCGTGAAAATATATGAAGAATCGGTGTCGGGATCGGAATTGAAATGAAAAGAGTACAGGACGCATCTAAGAGTTGGAGCGAGCGGGGAATTGAAAAACGAGTCAAAGTCCCAAAGTCTCAAAGAGTTATTTATGGGTACTGGTAACCTCAAATGGTCATAGGTTGCCCATTGTGGGATGTATGTGATGATTGTAATCTTATTTATCCTATTGGGTTGTGTGAATCTGGTCCATGCAACCCTTGAATCGGGAAATTTGGAATAACTTCAAGCTTCGTCCTTTTCCGTTTTTACATCGTCGCCATCATCTATTAGAGTTTGAATTTCATCTCATCTCCGAGGATATTCATATTGGCAGTCTGACTCTTTACACTTAGCTATTCGATGGAAATGTTTGGGTACCGGCATTGAACATCGATATTCACGGATGCAAACAACCTCACCTCGGTCCTACCCAGTACTCGGAGAGGACTACTTCAAGCTGTTCGAGGACGGTGATCATGGAGTCTTTCTCATTAAGGATGCATCATCAATACCGAAATCACCCGTATCAATATCCATTGTGGATATATTAATGGTGGATTGAGAAGAATCATCCATATTACATGACACTGTAGTAATCCATATCAAGGATGCCATCCGCTATCGTCATCTACATTCATTCGAATTTCGGCTTCCTCAGATTCCAAATTAACTCAACCTGCAGCTCCAGTTCTTCGCTCATATTTCAATAAAACTATCTCGATTCTCCACAATCTACACTACACTGTACGGTCCACATCCACACTAAAAATGATTTTTCTGTACAAGGGCATCAGGAAGTATGACAACGGCTGTCAAAGACCTGAACCCTACACGTGATGGGCATGTGCCACGCGGTCTTCGTTCCGGTGACAGTGTGCGGACCATTCAGGGACATGAGGATTAATTTGGAGTAACCTGAACGAGAGATTGTAAAGAGGTTTCCGCGAGCCAAGATCCGGAACACTAACAATTCGTGTAAGGTTACGGCAGCAACCTTCCTATGATCGATTCGAGAGTTTTCAGTCGTCGATCCGTCCCACTTAAATTAGGGCTTCCTTCCTTGTTAACCTCATATGATATGGCGTTGATTTGAAGTGACTCTGCTTCGAGAAATTTCATGCCCAAATCTCATGATATCAAAGCGAGGCCATCTCAAGCTTGACATGCCACTCGATATGACGGAGATTAACCTTGAAAAGGTCAGACAGTTACACACCGATGATTCCACATCTACCATTAAAATCCATCTCCATCTTTCCATTCTCTACCAGCTTCTTTAGCTCGATTAGGAGCGACATCGCCACGTTGCATTGCTTCTTCTTTGTTTATTTCAAGCCAACGTTGGATTTCATCAATATCCTTCTCTAACTTTTCCTTTATGGCCGGATCAGGTCCTTCCAAAGTCGCAATTTCTTCTTCCCTCCCTTCATCTATCAAATTCTGCATCTCTTCATTTCGGATATCCCATTCCTCTATTTCAATCTTCAGGTTGTCCTTTTCAGTTTGCTTATCCAAATACGCCTGATATTCCATTTCTCCTCCAAAGCAAATACCATATCCATCACAATAGCAAATGTGCTCTTTTGGACATAATATCGTTTGTCCAGAAAAAACAAATTGCCAAATATATTCCCACACTCTACCACTTATGTAATCTGATAACTCTGTTCTCAACAACCAATCTCGATAAAAGATATATCTTGCTAGTGGCAAAGTTTGAATTCGTTCTTTGGAAACGGCAAATTGTGCGCAACAAGGTTGTGCAAGTACATCTGGAACAGGCTCGAGTGGAAAGAGTTCTAACCATGCTCTTGCCATAATAGTTTGCTCTTGTTTATTATCATCCTCTTCCACTATTCCTGGATGCATCCAATCTGGACATCCTGGATGCCAATGACATCGTAAATTCATATATCCTTCTCGTATAACCCGTTCGGAAGATAATCTCGAGATCATTTGAGCCGAATCGAGATCGAGAAGTTCATTGTTATGCCATGTCGTCTGATGAGAATGCATGAATATGCTAACATCCGAAAGATTGTTATAATTCTCAATGATATACGAAAGATATATCATAACTTCATGACCTTTATTCTTCGGAGGATGATATTCGGCTTGTGGATCATCGGCCCTATATATAGTCGATTGAATAGAAGTATCATTTTCGAAATTTTCCATAACCCAACTCACATCTTCTTCGCTTGTACTGGCGATAACGAGCATTTTTGAATATTTCCCAGGATATGGCTTGACGATACCCGGATGAAAGGATATCGGTTTTTGGGTTTCTTGCTGACTTCTCCATTTGCTACTAGATATCTTTATATCATTATGCCATCGACCAGTTTTTTCGAAATCCGTCGTCAATATCAATTGGGTTTTGAGGTATAATGATTTGAAAAGTAGGAATAGAAAAGTAGCTGTTAGGATCGAAGCAAATGGGATAAGCTTCTTTGGAAAAGGCATTGTTAAGTAGAGGTAGGGGAGGAAAATGAGAAGTAAAATAGGAAGCAAAGTTTTAATTCCTGCTATGCATCTTCTCAAATCAAATCAATCAAGACTGGAAGAATTCCTAGATAGAATTTCATTTCATATTTCATATCATATCTCACTCATCGTTCGTTCCTACCTTTTATATATCTCTATATATAAATTACATTTCTATCATTACCCTAAGCATTACCATTACCATTACCATAACCAAAACCATCAAAAATAACTATAACTATAAAAATAACCATAACATAACCAGCCCGGCAACTCTTGCCAATATAACGAAAACATCTTTCATTCTTTCATTCTTTCATTCTTTGATATAAGAACTTGAGGAACGAACCGAAGGAGCCGAAAACGGAGAATAACTTTTTTTCCTTTTTCTTTTAAAGAAATAAATACAAAATTCTCCTCGCTCTGTCTCGGTTCCGGTTCCGCTTCCGGTTCTGGTTCGTGAAGTTTTGTTTTGTTTTGTTTTGTTTCGTTCTGTTTTGTTTTGTTTCGTTGGCGCGATGAGATATGTGTGTATGTGGAAGGGTAGATTGTTCTGGATTTTTGGTTCTGGATATTTGGTTTGGGGGTTTTGGATTTTGCTGTTTTTGGAAAGGGGGGTCGGTTGGTTAGGGGGGAGATGATTGAATGGATGGATGGATGGATGGATGGATGGATGGATAGATGGATGGATGCGGATGGAAGTAATTAATTGATTGATTGATTGATTAGATTGTATGGTTATGGTTAGCATTAGAAATTACTTTTTTTGCTTAGCGAAAGATGTGAGATTTAGTTGGTTAGGTTAGTAAGAGAGTAGGAGTAGGTAAGAGAGTAGGAGTAGGTAAGAAGAAGTGGTGGTGGTTGATGATGATGGTGACGGTGACGGTGACGGAGATTTTTAAGGTTAAGCGAGGAATGTATGTATGTAGATGTAAGATGTGAGATCTGGATGCGGAGATGTCTTAGATGGGGTGGACGCCACTTCGTTGTGTTTGATGGATGGATGAATGCGGGAAATTTTCAGAATTTGTTGGATGGTTTGATGGGTTTGGTTTGTGTTGTTTATGGTTTGGATGTTTGGATTGGATTGGATTGGATGGGATGGGATGGGATGGGATGGGATGGGATGGCTGTTTTCATAATATGGATTATAAGGTGAGGTTGTAAGGGAAGGGTATAATTTATGAGGGTGAGGATGATAATACTGAGGAGGAATCTTTTTAGATGTAGAGCGCAGAGAGAGATTGGGTTGATGTGATGTGTTGTGTTGTGTGGAATGTGTAGGATGTATGTGATAATTGATTATGAAGTGAAGGGTTGTGAAGTAAAGCAATAGTATGTATTATTGTGGAGATAAAGAGATGTTTATTTGAGGGTATGTGTATATATATTTGTGTGCGTAGATTCGAGTAGAAAGGAATTTTGGGATTTAGATGGTATGATAGATGGTGGATGGTATGATAAATTGTATAAGTATATAGTTCCTGAGGTTTTTGAAAGAGAGAGGGAAAGAGTTGAGTGAGGTTTTTGATATTTGGAAGTAATGAATGAGGTAGAGGTTTGGATGAATAAACAAAATCATATCATTTTGTTAGGAACACATGACAGCCGTACTAGAAAGCTATATAGAATCTACACTAGTGTTACCATCAGTTCAGTTCATAAGTATTCTATAATACAACTCTCTTTATACCTAGTTAAATACACAATGATAACATTATACACTTCCAAGACATTTAATAATCAATTATATTTAATATCTTATATCTTATATCTTGTTTAATCCTCAAAAATTATTATAAATAAGATTATTTTACTATTTAAATTCAAGAGTCAAGATATAAATATTGATAAAATAATTATAAAAAAATTATAATTATAATCTTAATTTCTAAAAATCTTAAAGTATACATATATATATAAGATTATATATTGTAAATATTTAATTTTAAACTTTAAATGAATTTATAATTAAAGTTTAAAGATTTAAAAACATTAAAAGAGAGTTGAAAGAGGTTTTGAAGGGGCATTTCACATACTCTTTATAAGATTAAAATTAGAGTTATGGAGTCTAAAGAGTGAGATGAGTATATCCGGATAAATATAATTATAGATAAATATAACCCTCAAAATCCCACTCTACCCCTCATCTCATCCTCCATCTCTCTTCCCCTTCCTCTTCATCTTCCATCTCAAAAGCCTAAAACCCACCACAATCCTCACCCGGCACACAGAAACCAAATCCACCTTCTCCTTCCAAACCAGTAATAACAATTTTACCCCTTTCATTTACTTTCTCCTCGCCTAATTTCTCTGCATCTTGCTTTTCCCCATCTTTTTTCTCCTCTCCTATATTAGCTTTTTCCTTCGTCTCTATTTCTGTTTCTATTTCCTTTGCTGTTTCTTCTTTCCCCTTCTCCTCTTCAGTTGATTTTGTGGTGGAAGTGGAGTCACTACTATGCGCAGTGATGGATGAATTGGAAGTCATCGTTGTGGTTGCTGTTAGGAGTGTTAGTTTCGATTAAACAACCATGAAAGGAAAGCGAGGGTGGATGAGATAAAAAGAAATAGGTTTAAAATAGAAGACTTACATTTCTTTCCATCAACATGACCTAAATCCCTTGACGGATCAATTATATTTCTAAGTCTCTTTTTCAATTCTTTGGTTTCTGGTTATATTAAGATTAGCAATCCATTCATTTTGTCATACATCCTCTTTCAACATAATAGACTCGTAATCCCGTTCAAAGCCCATCCATTCTTCTATCAAAACTCCAATCGCTCTGTTTGAGAAATTCCAACTAGAGAAAGAGAAGATAAAAGAATGAGACACATACCAGGAAATCCACCCTCACTCTTCCGATTCCAAAGTGTATGTTTCAGTATCTTCACCTCTTTCTCTCCTTCCTTCGCATTCTTTTCAGCTTCTCCTCCCGCATTACCAGTAGCATTCGCATTTGTAAACAATTCAACAATAAATATTCCACCAGTACTAGGTTGAAGAGCAACTTCTCCTATGTCATTTCCGAAGGTTGAAAGGAGTTCTTGGGCAAACTGTTTAGGTATATTAGTAGGGTGTTTTCTTGGATGAGGTCGTGGTTTTGTTTGGGTAACAAGAGGGAGGATAGGCAATAATAACTAAGGAGTGGGGTATATAAGAAGAATACAGGGAGGAAAATAGTAGAATATAAATGTAGACAGAGAAACAGCAAAATTTAGATGCCGCGACTTTTAACAACCAACTTAAGTTAAGCTAAAATGCCCAACACTCTGGATTGAGTCAACAGAAGCCTTAGGAAGATGACTTCAATCTTCCATAGTCTACCGCCAATCACGTGACTTTGAAATGCAATGGTCTTGCCATTCCCCTCATCTCTAGGTATTTATCCTAGACAAATAAAGGCCATTCATATCTGTATTCCGATGTTGTAATGGGGAAGAGATAATCACAGATTAACAGACAGAGAAATTGGGGTATTCTGGTGGGCCGTTCTTTTTCCTAGACAATGCAGATTAATCATATTATGATGGCTATCCATGAGCGGATATATTGCCGAACTGAGCAGGTTCGGCGGATATGGTATCGATGGGCAGTGGAACTCTGAAACTACAGAGTATGGAAACTAACCATCCTGTTCCAGCCAACTCAATTCATCCCATACCATCTGTTCGATATCCCATCCATCCGTTATATCAAACATTCAAATAAATCTTTGAAATCAAGCAACTTGCACGATTTCTCATTCTCTCCACTTATCACCGCTTCTCTCATCCTCTCATCCTCTCATTTCACTCCATCATCCAAAATCTCCTAAATAGAATTGCCTCTCTTTCCTGCCAGACATGATTCCCATATAAAATAACCACCTCACCCAAAGATCCCTCCATTCGCCAACCCCAGGTCTCTCCTATCATCCATACCCATCATCCACACCTCCTCCTTCCACCACCCAAACATCAAAACCACCTAGTAACCAGACAACAGCACTTGCATAAATCCAATAATACCACCCACACCGATCCAATACTGCCTCGAGCTCATCCATATATACCTCTTCATAGCATAAACCAGAAAATAGCAAACAAACCATCAAAAGCAAACAAACAAAAAACACCCACGAATCAAAAATCGACAAAACAAAAACCCAAAAAATTCACAAGAGAAAAATACACATACATAAGCAGCCCTAAGTAACCACCGACACTGCGTACAAAAAGTAATAGTCACACGAGGAAGTTTAATTTCCTGCGCATCCAGACTACTTTGAGATAGCATTGGTATTTTATCCATTTCATCCAATTTATTCATTCCATGCATTTCATCCATTTATGCTCGAATAATCGCACCGTACCGTACCGTATCGTATCGTATCGTTCCTATCCGTCGTTGTCTTGGATCGATTCGATTACGGCAGATGCGCTTTTCCCTCTTTCCCCCGTCTCGTCTCGTTCGGCAAAGGTAAGGTGGACGGGGTGGATGGTTCACCAGTGACCAGTGACCAGTCCCAAGAAAGAATTACAGAGCAGTAAATGATCTGTGCGGAAATCTCCGTGATTTGAGATATAATCTACGGATATTTGATGAGTAATTGAGTAATTGAGTAATTGGCGATTGATGGAGTTGAAGGGGTTGACTGATTCCTGGTACTTGCGTCAAGTAGTTGCGTCAAAGTAGTACTCACTCTGTAAGCTGGACCGGACTTGAATTATACTGGATTGGACTACTGGATTGGACTGGACTGGACCGGACTGGACAGTGAGTGGCTCGGGTCAAGATAGATTGGCGTGACTGGCGTGCGTGACGGGTCACTGGATAACTCCGTACGGTGACTTGGCTCGGAAGTAAGAGCGTAAGAAAGTAAGAAAGTGGAAAGTGGAAAGTGGGAGTGAGAAGTGAGAAGTGAGAAGTGAGAAGTGAGAAGTGGGATGGATAAATTCGGGATTAGGGAGATTGAATAAAATTGGGAATTATAAGATTGGGAGTAAAATAAGATTAAAATTAGGATGTGGATGTGGATGTGGATATGGATTGGGATCAAGATTGATAAGATCTATGCTATGATTCTGTATATCTTTTTATTATACTCCGTAGAGGGATATACACGTATTCCGTATATACGGAGTACAGACTGGGTATATATACCTATTTAAAGGAAGCCTCGGGCTCCCCCTCTCCCTCCCCCTTCTCTCTCTTCCTCGCTTTCCTCTCGATTAATAAGACAAGACAAAAGGAGAGAAGATATACCCCCTACCGAAAAAGAGAAAAGAAAAGAAAGAAGAGAAACACACTTAACAACCTCAAAGATCTTACGAATCAAAAAAAGACTTACCTACGTATTACTAAGTATATAATCATAAATAGGTACCTAATATATATATCAACAAATCAAATACCATAGATATAGTAGAATATATATACCTACCTATCTTTCTTTCTCCCCCATCCCTCCCTCCCTTCTCCCTACATCAATACCCTCCTACACAACACATACACACCAGTCCAATACTCACTCACCACCACTTCGCTCACATTGCCAACACTCACCTCACCTCATTCATATTCACAGCTCAACAACAACACCTACCTACCTACCCACCCACCTACACCATCAATCTAACAATTCCCCCCTCCCCCCAAAAAATATAAAAAATATAAAAAATATAAAAAATATAAAAAATGAACATTAACCTACCACATACCTACCTAATCCAACACAGCATAGTAAATAAACCACCTCAAATAAATTGATAGAAAATTGCACCATCCGCTTATAATCCTACTGTATTTATTAAATTTCTTTGTTTTATCCCAATCCTAATCCTAATCCCGATCCCGATTCTGATGTAGCTTTTGTTCAAACACAACAACACATAGTGTCAATCAGTCAATACCTACCTAGGTAGGTAGTATATAAGTCTTTCATATTCAAATTCGCACCCGGTAAAACCTCACTCATAAATCATCAGATAGATAGGTAGATACAATATCACAAATGCATTAAAAAAGTTTTCCTCGTAAAAAAGATATACCCTCCCAATCATCTCCATTGAATAATCCTATGCACAAAGAAGTTCATGTAAAGGGCACACCTATGTGTGAAGGGTCGAGGGAAAAAGGTGAACTACTACGAACAGAAACGAAAAAAAAAATTATTACATGCTTCCTTTTCCCTTTTCCCGTTCTCCTCTCTCATCTTCCTTTTGACTTTATCCTGCCTTTCATTTCATCAAGAAAGTCTCGAACATCGCACACGCAGATACACGATCGCAGATACAATCGCATCGAAAGAAACCCGCTCGCTGCCGTGCCCCGTTGATAGTGAAAATATACCTCCAATTGGTGAAATATGCTAATGCTTCTCTTTGCTTCCGGTAAAAACAGGCCTGTAAGGGAAAGGTCCAAGAAGAGACATTTGGCTTTATGGAAATAATGTCGAAGAAGGCTGAAAGTGAATGTTTCCCAATACGCCCCGTAATAACGCCCTTTATTCTGGTCTGCTGCCTCCCTCTGTCCCCTGTGGTGATGTACGTGATTTTGTAAGGATCGGTATCGAAATTGGTGTAAGTGGATGGATTTATGAATTGAGTGATTGATGAAATTATGAGTGGTCGTTGTCGGTCGTTCGTATGCTTTCCATTTCGATTTATCTTGATGTCTCTGTCTTTTTCCTACATCACCAAACAACATCCACCACTTTGTTGCGGCGCATATGGATCATCCTTCTTATCAACGGTACCCCAAATTGACGGAACCATAAAATCTTTTGTCTGACTGGTGTATTGGATGATACTAGATGAGTATCGCGCATTAGTGATTGATATTCATTTGAATGTCGAGGAATTCAAAGGAGGAGAGGAGTGGATTACCTCTTGGCAGCTTGAGAAACCGGGATCCTTTCGCGTTCCAAATCTTCTCGTAGACGATTGTTCAATTCAGTAAGACGTCTTAATTTGAGATCTGCCATAGATTGTTTATTCTTCTTGATTTGCGATGGGTCGCCCACGTCGCGAGATGAGTAACCTTGAGGCATGTTTATGGATGTAGATGTGGTTGGTGGTGGTCGATGTGGTGGTTGAAAGAGAGCTGGAGTGGGAAATTAGTTCAACTTGTGTTGCGACAGGATAAGGAGAAGCAGAAGAGTCGAAAGTAAATAGATCAAAACATACATACCAACAAGCCTCTGGTCGTTGATTACAATTAGAAATTGATTGGTACAGTATCGGATTGAATTGAACTGGTCGTCTTGTCTTTTGATAGATGTTGTTTGTGTTGAATGGGGTAAGGAGTGGTATTGTTTGTTTGTGGTTTGAACCTTCTGGTGATGGCTTAGAGGTCGAGAACTCAGGTATGGACGGAAGTTTAATTTGGAATTCTGAAAAGAATCGGTATGTCGGTTCGCTATTTCCCGTTTAAGCTTTCAAAGGTGTAAGAGAAGAAGAGGAGGAGTCAGACAGATATCATTCAAATAAGGATAATAGATAATGTAAAATATCAAGAAGTGAATAGTGAAATAATAATAAATTGATGTGGTAGGTAGGTATCGACAGGAAGGTTTTGTTTATTATTGTCTTGTATTCTTCAGAGAATTTTACCTTCGTACGATCAACTACAATTACGGGTACTCCTCTCTTAGTAAGTACTAAGTAGAAAATATCAGGGACGAGAACAATCTACTTTACTGTGTCACGTGGTTAAATCCCGTGGAAAAGTCCGCTCTTCTCCGCCACTAGTCTGTATATGTACCTCACTCTTTATACACTCAGGATTATCAAATTCAAGCCTTTTTTACTCCTCTTTCAACCATGATATACACATCATAAGAGCATACAGGTGGACAACAGCGATGTAGCTATCCATATATACGCATCGTTAGGTAGTAGTAGTAGTAAATCCATAATCGATTTAGTCAACTAGGTATAGCTAAAGACTATGCGGACCATGCGATATGCCAATGGTATTTAGATCGTTATATAAAAGTGATCGTTTTCGTTACGAAATCAATGAATATCGATCATAAACCAAAATGACAAGTATCAAACCCCCACACTCAGTATATTTCCAATTCCAACCCACATCAACAGCCCTAAAGTGTAAAGGAGCTTGCTTGCCCAGTATACCTTTCCTCCTCGGCTACGATATTCCCCATTACGCACAATTTGACATTCGATCCGTTTCCGCCGCAATCCCTTCAATAAACCACGAAAGATCCAGGTGAATCTGCTAGATACAAACTCTTATCACATTCCGGCCATAAGTCTACCCCTTTTCCGTTTCGCAACGAATTGTATAACTTAATAACTGAACTGCCGCGCTTTCTCAGGAACACTAACTTAGCCACCACAGATTTTCCGACGCCCCAATCCTTCCTATCCTTTAAGAACATAGCCTTCTTTTCCATGACCCCTATACGTGTATAAAAGCCGTTTGGAGACCCTTTTCTATTCTCAAGGAGTAAAGCACTGGCGTGCCAGTTAGGAGAAGGCTCACCTGCTGGTTCATGTGTCAAGATAGGAAGGACTATTACTGGGATCTCTACTTTTTTTAATAGCGTGTGTACATCTGCATTCCAATCTATTCGAACATCATTTCCGAGCAGCTTGTACCCAAGAATTTTATCTTTGACAATCGTATGGCGAATCAGTAGTCCTCTTGCTCGAAAATATCCATCTAATATGGATCCCGTGTCATCTATATGGGAGGCCGGTGTAACTTCCACCGAATCAATCTCAATATGATATATGATATTCCGCTTGATGATGGAAGAGAAATAGATGTGACCGTCAACCGAGGCCCAGGACCAGCTCGGTGCTCGATATTCTCTTGGACGCGAACCTTCCTGGACGCTCCAAAGAAGTTCCTCGACAAATTTAGTTCTCCAAAGGCCTGCAACGTACACATCATCAACAACTGCCCTTGTGCACTTGGCGAGGGCACTGCAAGCAACTAGTTTGTCCGAATGGTTGGTTAGATTTGTATGAACGTAAAAAGAGATCCATCGGTTCCATCTATCATAAGCTAGACGTTTCTTCACCTCGTCAAGCCCCTGCCCCTTACTCGGAGTTCTAATAATTTCGTCATACGAAATTTCTTTCAACTTGAATTTTGATTTCGTAGATTCGCATATTCTTGGTAGCCCTTTCGGATACGATTGGCAAGCATTCATCTCCCTACATTCCCATAATAGCTCATTTTCACAAAAATGGAGTGATCGAGGTGACATGACACGTTCTTGCAAAACCCACCCTCGCCTTAATAGTGGTGCAGTGCCCATTGTTCGGTTCCAGAACGCGGTGTCGGTCAAGTAGAATAAATCGTTTGTAGCATCTACCCACTTAGATTGCACTGTTAGACACGGGTCCAATATTGGGTTTTGAACCCGAGAAAGGCCTTCATGGCTATCTTTCGAGGCAGTAGCCATAATATTCAGACTACTATTTCCATAGACATCTTCCATCAAAGCAGATTCAGCCTGCCAATCGGCAACAGAGTCCTGTATGATACAAAGTGAGTCTATCCATAGGTAGGGAATAGACATTTTTCTAGCGACATATATGGCCTCGATAAACGTCTTTGGGAGTATTTTGAGAGGGATACCGGCCTTGAGTTTGTCTAGACTTGAAGTCGTAAGCTTTAAAATATCTGAATTTCCCCAGCAATGACTTAAAGTTGAATAGTGCGAGTCTTTGGCTACTTCTTCTTTGCTTATGATAAGCCTGACATACCACTGATCTTCATTGATTCTAAGAAGTCTGCTTGGCATGCGCTGTGTAGACGCCAAGCTATCGTTACACGCCTCGTGTCCCGATAAACAATGTTGGTACCACGCGGTGGCTTGCGCCAATGCAGCACCCGACATCGTGCTAATACCTGCGATCGAAGCATGGTGACGACAATATACAGGGTAATCATACTGTAATAACTCTAGATATAGTCATAAGCAGAGTTTAATTTTGTCTGTAAGCCACATACCTTTGTGTGGCATTATGGATATCTCTTTAAATATCTGACCTGCAACATAAAACCAAAGGTACCATTGTCCATTGGTGTGATTTAATGAACTATACAGCCAACGGACCCTGTCGAATCTCCCGGTTATCCCATTCTCAGTAATAAATACAAGTAGCCTATGGCAGATTCAACAGCCAGAATCTGAGGCGTCGATGAGTAGTTGCAAAGAAGGATGGTGTTGATTGCATTTAGAATTAGGATGAACCCAGCTATATTCGAGTAAAGTCTGATGGCCAGAAAATATCTTCTGACAGGCCTGGCAGAGCATCTTGTCAGAGTTACTCAACCGGGAAAATGTATGATATTACGAAGAAGTGATAAAAAATGGTTTGATGTCTTATGAGTCCTAGTGTAGCAACGGCAGCTTACTAAGAAGAATCTTAACTACTTTTATTGGCTCGGAATACTATTATCACTTATTGTCAAGAATTCCGGCGGCTGAAGTCCAATGAGGAAGGAGAAAATAAAATGGCAGTCCAATAGAACACTCTAGTACTCCGGCAGGTATTTAGCTCAGAACTGGATGGATTTCTTCATTAAACCTAGGCACCAAAACTCGATCATTTCGAAACTCAATGTAAATTTAACAATTCAATACTTTTTCATTTCAAATTTGACAAACTTATAAATGTTCGATGTTGAAATGATACTTTCTTTTACAATTAATTTTAATCAATATTATTGAAAAGTTATATTCGATTTTAGAGCTGTCATAGTAATTTTGATACGGTGACAATAACACAGGTGCCCAAACTCATCTGAGATTGAATTTGTTTGAAGAAGCCTCTTCAACTTATATCCCTCTATTTGTACCATATCTTGAGCTGCAGGCCGTTCAGTGTAGAAAGTCGATCAGTGTCGTCTAGCTCTCAGGATGGTAAGTAAAACATTGAGAACAATTAGAGCCAGAGAATAGTGAAATTCACGCTGCATCACTCATGGAGAAAGTAATTCATTATTGCAATGTTCATCTGTATCCATGTTTAAAGGAAGATAGAGGGAATTCAAGTTTAGTACTGTTGCTCCCAGAAGCTCCGATGCGCACCATGGTATTAATTAATATCTTCGATCTTTTCTTTTCCAACAGGTAGAAGCCGCAGGTAACACAGTATATGAGTATAATGATGAGCTATATATTGCGTAGACCATTCTTGTACAAACATGGACGATTCCACTCTGTGGTTGAAAGGAAAATATACTCGAGTATAGGCTGTGCAAGGGGACTCCGCAAGGCGGATTATTGCTTTAATGAGTAAATTATTAGAAAATCTGAATAAATAAATAACCCACAAATAATTTGTAAATTATTTGTAAATATCTATTAATTAGTGGATAATTAATTAATCTATAAAGTAATTTACAAATAATCTACAAATTATTTATCAAAGTGGATATTCGTTTAAATTTTTGAAACTATTCTTATATTTTTATATTAATTTTTATACTAATTTATAAATTATCTATTAATCCACTAATCCATAGATACTTATAGATTATCTACAGATATCTGTTTACGATACAGATTATTTTAAGATCCCAATGGAGCTCTGCGGAATGGGTCATAGATTTAATGGGTAACCCGTGGGGCGGATAATTTATAGATTTCCGCAACCCGCGGGTTATTTTTGCGCAGCCTACTCGAATACCAGTGTATATAAGATATTCAAGCAATCTAGATTGTAAGTACATATAGAATACAGAGTATCATTCGTGATATGAGTCTCTGTCAAACACTTATATGACATAGGAGAACGATCTCGACTTATAACACTCAATGTACTGCTTCGAGGACATGAATTTCAATAGTGGAACACATCTCCGCAGACATATTATATGGTTAGCGATCTTTCTAATTCTTATTATAACCATCCTCCAAAACACACAAAGCGTAAAGGACTCTAATAGCAATCTACAGTAACAAAACGTATACAGAACGATGAAAACCAAAACTTTAGCATTTCGGTCTAAAGAGCGGAAGACCTTTCAAATTTTCACTTGATATCAATACGGCGTCAGAGTCATTCAATTAAACCTGTGGAACTATACCAGGAACAAATCTTTGCCCTCTAGCATCATACATTCAACCTCTAAAGAAGCAACATTTTAGGGCTGGCTGATCTGAATATGCCCAAGCTATAAATTGATTGATGTAGAATCCCACAGAAATAATAGGATATATACAAAACATTCAAGCCTCTCTACACCCACGACATAACCCATTGAGTGAGCCTGGTCTCTATGAACAAAAGACTATAAGACTATTGACTATTCTGCGAGAGGAAAGAGAAGATCTTGTATCAAAAGCAAGCGCGTTCCGACACTCATCCAACTCCTTGTTCAGTATCCAAGATTATGAAAAAAGAGAGATTTTATAATCTTATCAAAGGCGGAAAACTTCCCTATACAGCTTTCACGCGGCGTCAAGAAAAAAAGAGACTTTGTATCAAAGCTATTATATTAAACTTTCAAAAACCAGTTCTCCAAGTTCTTTCTCAGCATCATTTGAAAATACTCATACCAATTCAGAAAGACAACTAATTATGTTATTTCTACCAGCTTTAATAAAAAGATAACTTGAAAAGAAAGAAAAAAATCCTATTAAGAAAACCAAAAAAAACTTCTTATATTTGATTATAAATTATTCAATAGTAATTTTATCCAAAAAAAAAAATTAACAATATTTATTAGTTTTTATCAAAACTAATAATAAAATAAATCTAAATAAATTAAAAAAAACTTTATTTAATATATTTTTTTTATATTATTAAAATATATTAAATATATTAAATGTTTTTTATAAATTTTTTAATAAATTTTTTTATTTCATATTAAAATCAAATAATATAAAAACAAAAATAAAATAAAAATATCTATTAGTATTAATTAATGAATTCAATTTAAATTTTTAAAATTCAACAAAGATACAAATTAATTTAAAATAAATTATTATTTTAATGATTTAAATATTACAATAAGATTTGATAATTCAAATATAAAGTTATTCATTCGATCGTCTGAAGTAATTAAATAAAACAAAATAATGAAATCAAGTCTTTAAAAGATGTGAAGAAATATATAACGGTGTAAGCGAAAAGGATCTTATATTACAATGAATTAGAAAAGGGTGAACAATGAAGAGTATATGAGAAGTCATAAAGGCATCAAGATATAACGATTGTTCATTTCTCATTTTGTCCGAACTAATTACATGAAACAAAATCAACGACTCAAGCCTTACGAAGATGTGGGGGAACCCATTTGCCACCTGCAGCAGGTTTAGCCGGGGGAGAATCATTACTTTTATCCTCGCTTCTGCTTGATGGACTTGGGCCACCAGCCGCTCCCTTGGCTGCTTCCCTTTCTCTCCAGCCTACCTTAGCACCAGAGCTAGCGAGAGCAAGAGGTGCCCGTCTTTCTCCGGTGGAATTGGTACGTTCCACACTTGGTGCTGGGCGAGGCGCAGGTGGAGCGTCAGATGGAACTTCCTTGCCCTCGGCACGGAGTTTTTCCTTTTCTCTCCAGCTGATCTTCCCAGGAGCACCGGCAAGAGCAAGAGGTGCTCGCCTTTCTCCAGTGGAGTCCGATCTTTCGATAGGAGCGCCACGAACAGGGCCTCTTGCCTTCTCCTCAGCTCTTCTCTTTGACGCCTCCTCAGCTCTACGCTCTTGTAGAGCAGCTATCTCCAATGCCTCCTGCCTCTCCTTCTCACGAATCGCCTTAAGCTCTGCGAACTCAGCCTTCCTCTTCTCCTCTCTTTCATCCTTCTCGGCTTTCTCCTTTTGAGCACGTTCTTCTTCCTCCCGAAGTTTTCTCTCTTGCTCTTCACGTTCTCTCTTCTCGCGAATCTTTCGTTCCTTGAACTCCTTTCTACGTTGTGCGACTTGCTTCTCAAGTTCCTTCTCAGCATCGCGACGACGCTTGTCGAATTCTTCGTGTCTGCGCTCGGCAATATCATCACGGAAAGATTCGTAATGAGAGACTAATCTGGCCAATCGGTGTTTCAGGGCAACGTTTTCAGCGTGTTTAGCTTCAGCATCCTTCAAAGTTTGAGCCTTGGTCTTCTCATAAGCGGCCAAATCACGTTGCCTTTGTGCCTCATAATCTGCAGGTAGCTTCTTGGCTTCCTCCTTTCTGAAAGCTCTCTCGAGATGATCGATACGTTTACCGGTAATTCTCAACTTTTCGTTGGTATCATTCTTCTCACGCTCGAGTTGGGCCAATTTCATGGCACGAAGTTTGTTGCCATCAAGGTTGTCCAAATCATCAAGATCGATGTCAAGAGCCTTGTTGCCAATCTTGAGATCATCGATTTGCTTTTGAAGCTCCGCTTTTCGGACACGTTCCAATTCGGCCTTGAGACGATCATCCTCACGCTTCTTTTGTTCAGCTTCAAGTCGCTTGTCCTCGGCTTCTTGAAGTTGTGCAGCCTTGATGCGCTTTCGGGTGGCTTCTTCCTTCTCTTTGCGAGATTGAATCTCGGATGCTTCCTCCTTTCGCTTCTGGATGGTCTCTTTTCGTTTCAACGTCTCCTTGTGTTCTTCATCGGCACCAGCTTTAGCTCTTGCGTATGCTTCATCACGAGATTTGACTCTGGCTTCGTTGAGAGAAGGATCGACATATTGGCAAGTGATGAATAAAGCCTTGGCAAGACGTGTAAGTTGAGTTCGTACAATTTCGGAAGGAGTGTTTTGAAGTCTTTGAACAGAGGCAGTTTCAGTCTCAGCAGATCCTGCAGCAGATCCAGCATGGATTGCCTTCGTAGAAGAGAAAACATCAGTATCGAAGCTTAGAACACCAGTAGCGTGATCCATTCTGATGGCAAGATCACCCTTCTTGTTACCGTTCATGATGAACTTCTCTATTGTTTCCCTGGTTACTTGGAATGGCTCTGGGAATTTGGCGAGGTTCTCGACGAAGTTGAGATCAACGGTCTCGTAAACTTGAGAAAGTTGTTGGAAGAGTCTGGTCAAGATGACTTGTTGAAGGGGAAGGACATATTTCTCCATCTCAGCATCAGCACCAATTTGAGACAGGATTGGGGAGATCTTCTGGCAAATTGAAAGAGGATGGAAATCAACTTCGAGGATGTTATACAGCTCACGGATCTCAGGGCGGGCACGCTTGAGAAGACCCTTGCTCATGGCATCCTTGAAAAGAACGGCACGAGTAGGAGCTTGACCCATACCGAGAAGATGAGTAAGACGGGAGTTCTTGTTCTTCTTTTGCTCATCAACATCAATCAAAGCACCGCGGGATCTAGATGTACTAATCACAGG